CAAGGAGTGGTTTTTGAGTGTCATTGGCAAATCCCTTCGCGACCTAGCTCATTCGATAGAGAATTGAATTCTCAACAACCTCTAGTTGTTCATTTTTGCAAAATGCCTTTCCCTGATTTTATAAAATTTAAAAACTTTAAACGGAATTTTGGCCAACCGTCGGTTCGCTGCATCAAAATCATGCCGGGCCCGCTCTAGGGGAAGAGGCCTTCAGCGCGGTCCCCATCAGCATCAGCCGTGGCGCAGTGGCTAACGCGGCTGTCTTCGAAAATTTTTTTTTTTGCATTTTTTTGCAAGTTCGGTTCTTGTAGATGTAATTTGTTTTGCTTTTTGTATTATAAGTGGCCCCAGTATTTTTAAATAGGTTGCACCTCCAATTTAGAGGGCTCACACAAACCTGGATCATAATATTTATTTTTTGTTGTAAATTTTCCTGAAAGCGCGCAGAGCAGCCAACGTTGTAATAAGTATTATTTTAAATCAATTAACTTATCAAAGCGTCTGCAAACGCTTTTATTAACAAAAAGCAAAACAAATTTTCTAGCAAGGAACCGAACTTTCCACAAAGATGCAAAAAATTTTTGAAGGCGGAAGCCTTAACCACTAGGCCACGTCCCATGGTGAGAGGGGGGAGGCGGAGAGAGCTCATGTCCTAGGGGGGTTCCAGTGGGCTGGCCGCGCCAGACGAGGTATGGAAAATTCAATTTTTAGTTTTTTAATTTTATAAAATCAGGGAGAGCCGTTTTGCAAAAATGAACAACGAGAGGTTGTTCAGAATTCAATTCTCTATCGAATGAACTAAGTCGCTAAGGGGTTTGCCAATGACACTCAAAAACCACTCCTTGTAAGCCTACAAGTGAAGTGATACTTACAATTCAAGGGAACGGACAAAGATGGCGGCGCCGGTGGCCGACCTCGAGTACTCGCGATGCGTGTGTTGGTATTGTTCCTAAACTCTCGGAAATTAATATTCAGAGAAAACCAAGAACGAGAAAATCAACTGTTTTTCTGAGGGGTTTTTGTCCATTTTTGGTCAAAAAATCTATATTTTTTTAGTTTTACGCTTAAAAACCGTTTAGTAACCCTAGTTATCTAATATCTTTGAGCCCAGAGCCAAAAGTCCGCCACCCCCGATAATGCAAAAGAACCCGCATTTATGTCATCTTAATCTGAGGCTTCTGAAGGTCTCAGATATCGTAAGGTCCTCTTCATACCTCAATTGTCAGCCTTGCTTCCGCCAGCCTGTTCAGGCTTTTGACGCCGCTGAGCTGGTCGTTGAGGGAACCCTCGCATTTGATCTGCAACTTTTCGATTTGCGGGAAACGCCTTGTGAAACATACAGTCTTCTCCTTTAGTAGCAGTAATACTCCAACAGTCTTACAGTCCAGACACTGCTCATCAGTAGGGCCCCCTGAAACAGCTTTTTTCGAAGGGTATCTGCTTTTAAGGTATACCCCTTCAAGGCTTTAGAAATTGTGAAAAATAGCCTACAACATCCCCAGCACGACGGATGACACGGCTCGCAGCGATACGGGAAATAGTGCAACGGGTAGTAGTGTAGCCTGAAAATTTGGACTGCTTGAAGACGTCGCTCGGCACCCACGGGCAATTGTAGCGACACTGTAGCCGCTCGGACCAGTTTTCGCCCATCTGTACCTTTGTGCTCAGCCTGTAGAGTCCGGTGGCGCACTCCAGGCAGCCATACCTGGAAAAAGGCTTTTTTCGAGCAACAGCACCAACACATCACAATGACGGCACCAGAATGGGCATGCTGTGCAGCGCTGCGTCTCCGGGTCGTAGTACTGCCCTCTGAAATTGTGTATTTTAAAGGGAAAAACAAGGCATGGCTATAAATTTTGCTCCGGTTTCTCTAATCGCGCTGAAATTTACCAGGCCGCGACACGCAACGCGGGCGCTTTCGCCATGTATCGCGCGCGATCTGTGTTCGCCAATTTCTTGAGTTGCGCGCTACGTATCGTGCTAGGAGAACGAAAATAGGAACTAGAGAGCTCGAAAAATCGCAAAAATATAACCTTGGGCACAGCGGAACGCACGTAACGCGGTGGTGGCTGCGGAGCGGGGTGTAGCCGGATTCGCATCGTTTGCATTGGGCTTTCGCCTAAACTAGGGACTTTTTTGGCGAGTTCTTACAATTTTGCAAATTTGTACATTTCCGAAATTCAACCGAAAACCCACATTACACTCCTCGCACTTGGGAATGAAATTCTGGCAAGCCCAGCAGATGTCACCGATTCGCATCTGGCCGCTTAACGGAAGTGATATCATGGCTAAACTCTAGTTACCCCCCCCACGCTAAGTTTTTACTCTAAAAAAAGAGGGCCTGACTGGCCAATTCTAGATGAAGCTTACCGCGGACAATCAGGGCGCGTCGGTCTCTCGGGGTCTGTCGTCTCTATCGCCGCAACGCAGTGTGAGATGCGGCCTATCCCGATCAACGCCGGCAGGTAGCCCTCGTCGCATTGGTAGCAGGACTAAAAATGGTGTTGAGCGCCGCAAAAACAAATAGTACGCACAAACTTGATGTTACACCTTCGACAATTTGGCGCGCATCTCCCCGTGCATCTCATTCTGTGGTCCCATGTTGAGGCTTCTTGATAGTAGCCGCTGAAAAGCTTTCCTCATTCTCTACCTGGTTCTTTCTCGCTCTCTCTCTCTCTCTCTCTCTCTCTCTGTCTCTCTCTCTACATGTCTCTCTATCTTTCTCTGCCTCACTCTCTCCATTTCTCTCGCTCTCACTACCGCTTAGGAAAATACCGATTGAAAAACCCACGCGGCGCACGGCTGATCCAGCTCGTAGGTGATGCTCATCGCATCCAGTTGGTTCCTTACGAAAAAGGACAGGCCCTCAATCAACCCTAGCTCGTGCTCAGGGGGCAGAACGACGAGCTTACAAGCCTCGTCGAGATCCCTGAAGGATCACGACCCTCAGAAAATGATCTTCAATACCCGCTCAACATCTCCGGCAGTGTCCCGATCGGGCATTCCTCACAAATATCGTTCCGCATGGTTGGGCAGTTGAATAGATAGCCGTAAGGAGCAACGTCCAACTGGAAATTTGACTTTTGTCAGACTCTATGGTACTGCGTGGATGAATTTTAGCGGCCAGAGAACCGAATTTTCTCCCTGTACTCCAGTAACGAAGTTATACAACGAATTTATTGCATTTATTGTATTTCACACGACCTTTGCGTATAAAAAGCCTATCAACAACCAGAAATTCACTACATTTTTTTGAATTTTCGGCAAACATGTACGAAAAATGAACGAAAGAGGCGGTAAAGAGGCTCTTACGCGAGGTATATTCGTAACCACTTACGAAGATCAATGTTTTATGTGCTTTTTGGAGCTCATATTGCGAACAGTGGATGGCCGTCCATTGTAACGTGCCGTCCTCGTTGGAAATATAAGTTTTGCGCATCGGGAAGATCGACGGGCTGAAATTTTTTTTTATGCGCGATGTCGCAGTCGCTTCAAAAGCAGAGTTCTTGGTTTAAAAATAACCAAAGAAAAATTGGATTTGGAGGTCACCGCCGCTAATGCGAAAGCGTCCAAAAACATCGATCTACTAACCCGTAGTGATAGATGTTGTCGACATCTTGGCCAAAGCACTCGATCAATCCGCCGGTCTCGGTCCTAAAATACACGATTCGACCACCGCCCGTATCGTACCAGTCGTAAGAACGCTCACATCCGTAGTCCACGCATCGTCGTGTCAGGTTCAAGTATGGGGCCACCTTAAAATAATGGAATCATCGAATTGAACTTACATATTCGGTGACGGTGGGTCGAAGAAACGTAGCAAAAAGCAGCCATATCCGAAGGATCATCGATGCCGTCGTGGCCGTCCGGACGCCAGGGGCATAGTAGAATACCAGCAGAAAATTTTGAATGAATCCTCATTAGAGCATTATTCAAATGCATGGCGGATGCATAAAGAATTTTAAAGAAAGAAAAAAGACATTCCATCCTTTGGAGGCTCGAAGGCTGACGTTAGCTATCCAGCTTCGAGCTCCGTTCAAAACGCAAAAAGTCTGATGAGAGTGGGATTCGAACCCACGCCTCCGGAGAGACTGGTGCCTTAAACCAGCGCCTTAGACCACTCGGCCATCTCACCATGAGTGTGGTCGGGCGGTTGGGGCGATATCCCCGAAAGAACAGGTGTCCTCCCACTGGGGGCTGGCTGTCATTATTGGCATGTGCTGTCAGGTCGCCAATAAAAAAGTCGAGCTGGCAGAATTGTGATTTGGATTCGAATTCTGAAAGCATAGAAGAGTAGCAACACGTATCAACAAAGTAAGTAATAACACAAAGCTTTATCGGCGGTAAATAGTAACTTGGAACAGCTGTTGAAAGTTTTCTTGCTTTGAATTTGTCGTTTTTAACATTGACGAGTCGATGAGCGGCCGCCAGATCAAGCCGAGGAATTGTGGCTTCGATTCGGGTTTGGCGGAGAGACGTCACCGGAAGTGCTGGTCGCCTCAAATATCGGAAGTTTTAGAGTCGTTTGGAAGTCTCTTGGCAAAACATAGAGAGAAGGGGGGGAGAGGGGGAAAGAGAGATGAGAGCGAGAGAGAGGGTAGGAGTGTATGTTCAAAAACCAACCAAAGCCGGAGCCGAGTGACTGCCCAGATCGGTGGAACTTGGGCATGGCGTCTGGGCGCCGATCTCGGCTGCCGACGTCGTCCGACGTTCAGAGGTGTGTGGCGTAGCCGGTGCGGGCTGTTCGACAGTGCGCATCGTCGTGGCGACCGTCGCCGAGTGTTCAGTGGTGTACATCGTAGTCCTCGTCCCGGTCCGTTCTCCAGTGCCTGTCTCTCGGCTAAACGACTTGGCGTCGAGGGTTCCCTGGTGGCTCTCCTGCGTCGTGCCCAGCGACACTAAAAACACAATAATTTTCAGGGAAAAGTCTTCAGAAAATTACATGATTTACTCCTCGACTTGGACTTGGCCTTCTGCTTTTTCGCTTCTTCCTTCCGGAGCTCGAGATTCCGCTTCAGGCGCATGTTGAGACGAGCTTGTGTACGAAGCTGAAAATCAACAGGCGTCAATTTTCGGGACGGGTAATACTCACATTTGGGCGGACGATGACGCGCGGCTTCGGCTCCGCGAGCGGCCCGAGCGCCTTCTTCGAATTGGATGAAGAAGCTGAAATGGATTTTGAAACGACGAGCGTAGAAGTCACATGGAACAGCCGGCACCGTGTCGGAGCTGCGCGCCTGTGGCGGAGACGTCGGGCCGAACGAGCTGCTGCTCCCGGTCCTCGTTTTACGCAGGAACACCAGGTACTCGAGCTCACGGAGTGCGGCTTCCTGTACGATACTGAAAATCGCGGGTTGTGGGAGACGATTTCAACGTTCTGACTCCTCGTATCGCCAGCAGATCAGGTCGGCATCGTCGAGCTCGCCGAAGAACATCGATGCTATAATAGTCGACGAGTAATATGACTAGCTACAAAATACCATAAAACCCCATCGCGTGGACGGTAAAGTAGCAGAAAAATCCGGCGAGCACCAGCAGCTCGACGCCGACGTGGACGGCAGGGTACTCGATGGAGAACTCGATTCTTGGTGCGTAGGCTGGCGGCAACTAAAATTATGAATAGAGGAGTTAAAGAAAAACCCACATGCGAACTCGACAAAGGCTCCCAGCCGCAAAAGCTCATTCCCGGTATGGGGGACGTCTGGTAGTAGCCGACCTTCAGATGGCATTCGGGAACGCATCTCTGAAAAAATTATATATAAGTTTATTAAGCCAATTTTTTTAGCGTCTGATCGCCTATTTTTCTGGAAATTGGGGTAATTTTTTGCACAATTTTGCAAATTTCTAAACATTTGAAAATATGATATTTTTGTCGATGAACTCAAATGCAAGTTTTAAAAAGCTTAGGCGATTTTTCTGAAGGTTTTTCACATAAAAACGGCGCAGAAACCCATTTAAAACGTGTGTATTATTTGAAATTTCTGTCAGAATAAGCCAACGGATCGTCGCCTTAAGACCACAACCCCCGCTGAGGCAAATTGGTAGAAACTAGTTGGTAGAAGGCAACTTTGATGTCTCATTTTTACCCCCTCGGCATCCCGGATTCCGTGACGACACTTTTTGCACGCTGCCGGCCCGTATCCGGTACATCCGAGACATTCCTGATGACAGGGCAGACAGTGGCCCAGCTGATCCTCGAAATGGGCACTGAGGATAATTGATTTTCCCATGAAAACCAAAACCCACATCGGATCACAGGTGTGCGCGTAGCCTTCGTGAACGGCTTCTAGGCACACTTGGTCGATGCCGACTGACATTTGATGTGCTGCGACTAGCGCAACGAGAACTCACTGTCCGAGTGAAAGCTGTAGTCCGCGTTCAGTAGCGACTTGTCCGGGTCTTTCCGAATCCGTTCCAATGACTCGGTGGTCGAAAAATAGATATTGTTCTGTCAGCTCCCTTTTTACGTTGTTTTTCAGTCGTAAAAGTTACTGAAAAAGTTAGTCCCTTGTAAGCGACCCCCCCGCTAACGGTCCAGTACCAAAAAATGCAACGGTAAGGGAAAAGAAAAATTTGATAATTACCCAGTCACACCGATTGCACCGTCCCGGGTGGTGGCACGGCACACATCCATCGGGCAGCCCTTTAAAGGTACCACTAAATACACTTTCATTCAAAAAACAGGGTTCGACTTGGGGCATGTGTTGTCACAATAGCCGCGAAAATCGTTCCAATAGCCCGGCTTGCAGTTGACGCATTGCTAAAATTTTGCGTTCTGCTACGCTAGCAGGAGGGGGGGGGGAGCATTTTAACTACCCGGCTGTTCGATTAGGAAAATAGCCGGGATAGAGAAAATATCCACACAAAAAAAATAACTTCCCGTTAGGCCCCCGCCCGCTAATGCCCCAGAACCGTATTTCATGTTCCCCCGTCACCTACCACAAGGATTTCATAATTCGACGTTTTCGTGCAATGCCGACAATCGTCGCAATATCCCGGCAACTCGAAATCTCTGATGTGTAAACATTACAGTAGGTTGGGCGCTCCCCACCGGTTATAGCGACGAGCGAACATTGCGGCTCCCGTGCGCGTAAATCCAATTCGGAGATTGGAGCGGTCGTAAATATTCTGAATTTTGGAGGGTTTTCGATGTTTGCATGGGCTTATTTTCATTTCGCCGAAAAACATTATGCCGAAATTTTATTTCGCCGAAATACAAATACTACATACAATAAATTTTAAATACCAAGTTGTCAATATTTCAATGCTTTTATCGCCTCGAATTCCTACCTCTACTTCCTCGCGCGCCCCTCGGAGATTCTTCAAATCTTGTGCATTCAAGATGTTGCGGTTCATTGAGCTGTCACACTTTAACTGAACAATTCGATAGAAACTCAATACACAAATCCGGACCAACCGCCCGCATGTCCCAAAAGCCGACGGTTTTGCAGTCGAGGCAGTCCCTGTCGGTTGGGCCTCCTAAACTCCACAATTTGTCGAGACCACACTGCCGCGAAGTAAAGCAACGAAGCTTACGACATCCCCAGCACGACGGGTGGCACGGCTCGCAGCGGAATGGAAAATAATTCAGCGGGTAGTAGTGCAACCTGAAAATCCGGTACTGGACCACTAGCGGGGGCACACAAATGTTTTTCCAGAGTTTTGAAGATACCCTATAACTTCCAACAATCAAAAACTACCAGAAAAAATAAAATACAGTAAATACACAAACAGTATTAGTTTCAGTAACAGCTGCGAATAGACCGAAAGTAAAAATTACCCTCCCCCCCCCACTAACAGCCCAGTGCCAAAAATTCGACGCCCTAAGGCTTTAAAGTACGGGAAGTCCCCACGGGCAACTGTAGCGGCAAATGACGGTGTTATCTTGGATGTGCTGATGCATACTGTAGAGCCCGGTGGCGCACTCCAGACAGCCAAGGCTAGAATGGCAGGATTCCGCGTTTTTTGTGTCGTATCCAGCACTCACTAACTACAATGGCGACACCAAGGCGGGCAACTTTCGCAGCGTGTCGTCGTCGCATTGTAGAATTGACCTCTGGAAAATATAGTTCTAGTGCGTTAGCGGGGGGTTTGCCCCTCTCCCCGACACCCCCCTCCCCGCTAACGAACCAGAACGGAGATCAGTCGGGCAAAGTAGCAAAGGAATTTTTCGGACCTTGTGCAAAGTCGCACGCATGTCACCCGGTAGTGGCCATGGATCGGGATGTAGCCCCGTTCGCATTGGATGCATCGACCTTCCCGCTGTAATTTAAGGTTGGTCCGGGAGAATAGAGATTTAGGCTTAGGTTCAGGTTTCTGCTTAGGCTTAGGCTTAGAGCAACAAAAGAACCACACATCACAGCCGACACATTTCGGGAACAGGTCCCTGCACGCCCAGCAGAGGTCGCCGGTCCGGATGTAGCCCCTGAACCGGATGTTTTCGACTCGACACCACGCGAATCGATACCCACCCTGGACACGTCGACGCCATCCGCGAATCGCCGATCAGCTCTGTGCCGCCCACGCAAAATCGAATGCTGCCGTCGGCCGCCAGTGCCGGTAGAAAGCCGGCCTCACATTGGAGGCACATCTGGAAGAGGCTAGATGGTGCTTTGGCCATATCGAAGAAGGAAACCAAATCTTTGTTGTAAGTCCCGATATACCTAGTAAATCAAAGTCCTTTATTTTCTTATTTTTTGAAAAACCCAGCGAAGGGCCGAAAAGCTTTTAGAAGAGTTGCAAAGAGGTCTCGAATTCCGAGCTTCTGGTCAAAAAATTTTTATATTTTTGGCTTTTTTAAGAAAAGTATGCATTTGCAATGGTTCGGAAACATCAAAGCAACGCCAAATTATTAGAGTCAGAAGACTGGTTCTCATTTGTTTACGGGGGGGGGGGGGGGGGGGGTGATCGGGGCAGCCCACGCCCAAGCCCACTTTACTTTCGCACGGGGACGCAGGGTGACGCAGGGGACGGGTGACGACAGCCCCTTCCCCCGTCCCATGCGTCCCCTTGCGTCCTCGGGCTTCTACATGCCTCAACCGCCTTGAAATTTTGCGAAAACTTTCCTCTCCCTTCACTCTACAACTCCACAAATTTTCATGCCGCTAGGCGTAATGCCCGCCGAGAGATTGGCTTCGAAAGTTTTGGCCCCAGGGCTGTAACCAGGGACGTAGCGTAAGGTGGGCCCCCTGGGCCCGCCCCGAAATCGGCCGGGGCCCGAAAATTTCATAAGGGGGGACCTTTATGATTTTTATTTTCTCAAAAATTTTGCTGCCTGCGGCGCTATTTTTTCACGTTTTTACTGCTATTTGTAGAGCTATGCAACCCTTTTTCCAAAATTTTTCGCCTACGGCGCTGTTTGGCCTTAATTTTTTGAGTTTTTCGGAAAAAATTTTTCGGGGCCCCCCCCGACATTTTTTTCTGGCTATGCCCCTGGCTGTAACCCTGGTCTTTAGGTCCCATTCTAATCGCCTCCTCTCGCTAACGCATCAGAACCGAAAAAGTTTAGCGAGCATCGAAACCTAGGCGAACGTCACTTGAAAGCACCAACCTTCGCAGCGTAGCACTTTATGCAGTTACGCGGGCATTTCTTGTCGCACCTCACGCCTTCGTCCTTGTCGAAATCACCCTGGTATGTCCCACTGTAACCTCACAAGTTAAGATCAGAATCTTCAAAGGCCCTACGCTGGGCACTGCGGATCCGCGCTGTGTGCGATGAGCCACGCGTTGCTTTGCTTTTTGATGTAGAATGGGTAGCGGGGTTTGTAGCGATAGCCAAGCGCGATCTGTACCAACTCGCAAGCCTCCTGGTAAGTCCTAAAGCGGCCGTTTCGGTCTGAAATTGCCCATGTACGGTCCAGGATGGGTAGGGCGAGATCCGATCGGGCACTCGTCGCATGAGTCGTCCTGCGTTGTCGGACAGTAGCCATTCGGCTGGGAGACGTCCTCCTGCAAGTGGCACGCCAAGAAATCGCGTCTTAACAGACTGTTAGCAATTTATTTGCATCGCAACCTACATATTTCTTAGATATAAAAATCTCACCAACAGTCCTACAGTACCACTTTCTATTGTCAACTTTATGTAATTCAAAACTATCAGGTTGGACCGAAAGTAATTACAATTTTTCGAACGCCAAAAAATTATGGAAGCAGCCATCCTATCTTTTCCATATTTTAACATGATTGAGGGTTAAGTGTGAACTTCCTGCACTCCCGATTTCAACTTCCATCTTTTGCTACTTTTGAAGTTATGAGGAAAAGACGGTGCGCGTTGTAATTTTCGCTCATTTTAGGTTTCGTAAAAATTTTGTCCGTCAATGTGGCCACAGCTATTTGAATAAGTAATCCCGATTAGAGCAGCAGTAGTACTATACAATGTATCGAACCAAATTTAAATAGGTCGTCTCATACTTTTTTTCCTGAGCGATTTAGAAAGATGTCAAATTGGGGTTTCTGGCCTCAAAATGACAAATCCCTTCGTCGCGCGTTTTCTCCAGTTTTAGTGACTAATTTTTTTAGGGTCTTTTATCGATATGTAGCTTGGTTATCACTGTTTCAAGCGCGTACATTTCCTAGGGACATATCTTTTATGCCGGGCCGCAGAAGATATCAACCCCTGATTTTCCAACACAATTTTGTTTTGGTTTTCTCAAACTGAACTAATGGGTTTGGGGCAATGATAACTGGAGTACCTTATCTACTGTTGCTCTGTCAATGGCCTGTTTTGTCGAAAAAATTCGATCAGCAAGGATCCAAGAATAACAAGCAAAATTGAATGACGAGGCGAGATCCCGTGTCGATTATTCGTCGTTACATTTGGTAACAAAATTTTTACCCAGGAAAGCAGGGCTGCTTGATAAATGTTGTTGTCACAGTGTTCGCAACTAAATGTTTTTCAAAATAGGTGGAGCGCTTCTACATTGGCGGTCGTCATTGAATTGATAAGCCCCTTTCCATCAGATTCATCCCGAATCGGGATTTTGTTCCATATTAAAGGCAATAACTACGGGATCCACAGCGGTTCGGCCTGATTTGACACCATAGCTAGAAAGATATGATACTGGCGCTCTAAGCCGCCAATTATGCTGGGAGGATTCTGACTTTAGAAATTTTCATAAGGCTGGAAGGACAGAGGGCTCGCGGATGTCGCCGCGTCGGGTCAACCAGTGTCTCAAGGAAAACCGGTCATAGAAAAATAAATATAGGTTGGATCGATTCAATATTTTAATGTGCTATAGTAGCATCTTAGACTCAACCATGGGTGTAAAAAACCTGACGGCCGGGTGGTAAATGTTTTTACAAAACCGGCTTGAAGATCGATTGTAAAGACTTTCGGTCCAGCCTGATATGTTAAAGTCTAGACAGGATATCGATTTGTTCGCCACTACCCCCCCTCCCCCGCAAAGAGTCCAGAACCGGGGGCGGCGTCGTGCGTCGTACTACTTACAAAGCGATCACCCGACATCGTCATCTTGAGCTGATATTGGGAGCAATGGATCGTCGTGGTAACCGATTGCGACGTACCGCCGTAAATTGTTGTTTGGCGCACCGGGAATATTGTGGGGCTGAAGTAGAGCTCGTTGAAACATCAAAAATCGGCTGGCACTAACCCGTATTGATAAATATTCTCTACGTTTTGCCCGAAACACGCCAACAACCCGCCCGTCTCTGTCCTAAATTTTGTCCTATCTGGCGTATCGTAAGACCCCACAAGTCATGCATACGATCACACTCTGAATCCACGCATTGATGGGTTAGGTTCAGGGTTGGCGGGTGCTGAACCGGAATTGTAAAGTCTATCTCGGTAATTTACGATTTCCGCCGGATTCGACTGGATCAACCGGAGAAGAAGCGGAAAGATCCCGGGGATCATCGCTGTGGGGGCGCCGGGTGGGTTGCCTGGGCATAGCCGGAATGGAGTGATGAATGGAATTTCGTCGTAATCCGCCGGAAAAGGCAAATCAGGAGGCGATTTTAATTTTGGAATACGAGATCGGTGGGGTTTAACGTTTTAACCAGTCCTCCTGAGTCCTCCCAATGATCTTTTTCTCTCCCGCACTCTCTCTCTCTCTCTCTCTCTCTCTCTCTCACTTGCTCGACCTGTTTTTTACTCGGCCGACCTCTCTGATGCTCTGTTGTTCGAGAACTCAGTCCACCTAATTTGCATCCTAACTCTGCATTGGAAAATCCTGCAAAAATCGCACAGCCGCCATGCGCCTCCTCTGAAGACGGTCAGGCCATGAGGTTCAAATTCTTATTGTTCGCCTGTCTCTTAGCCTCATGCGGCTCACAAGTGAAGGTTCAATTTTGATCTAGCCCGATATGCAAAATCAAGGATCGTCTCCTCGTGCAGTACACTTGCGCCGGACAGCACTACTGTGACCCAAAGTCGATGCGTACCTTGTAGGAGCCATTGGAACTTTTGTAGTTTGTACTCTTGCAGCACAGAGACCGGCGGGCTGGTAGTGTGCAACGACGCGAGTGTGGACAGCATTTATGAGGCCAGGTACAGCCCCCCCCCCCGACAACGAAACAGAACCAGTTGAAGCATAATTGAGCCTTTTCCAGCTCCACATTCCTGGTGCACAAAGTGAAGGCAGCGTTGTGGTGGGGATATGAGGGGATAACCTGGCGACATGGCCTCGCTTGCTGGGATCAATATCAAGACCTGGCGCCCACCAATGAGAGCGTGAGTGGGATTCCGATACTTTTAAGGTTCACAAGATTCTTGATTTGGACGTAAAAGAGGAACAAAGATTCCATGGATTTTTTTGGTTTTGAATTCGTTGTGAATTTTGCGATACTTGGCTGTTAACGGGGGGGAGGAGCTGATCATTATTTTTCATTTATACCTACGTGCTAATGTTATCTAGTGCCCTTAGCGTTTTTGGTAGCTTTTAATCTCTAGGAAGTGAAAAATCAAAAAGGGGAAATGTTGAAAGTTGTAAAAAATCTGAAAATTTGTGGCCTTGGGGCCTTTTTTATGCATTTTAATTGAAAAAGGCTGCCATTTTTGTAAAGTATTAAAAAATTTATGTGTTTTTTGTATAGACAAACTTTTAACGTCTAAATACCCTCTAAAATCTCCTGAAAACGGGTTTTCAGAGCGATTTCCTCTGGTACGGCGATCATTGTCAAAGGACCATGGTGTCGGAATGCGTCAATTGCCCGGCCGGATGGCAGTACAGACCGCCCAAGTCGAATAGGTTCTGGCTTACTGGGAACTGGCTGACCAGCAACAATTTCAGCCCGTTCTCCTGCGTGCCCAGCCACGAGGACGGCTGGCTGATGCAACAGCTACGCGACGCTCCGTATGAGCGGTTGTCGGCGATGGAGGTGATGCCGACGCCGCGATATTGTCCTGAGTATGGTTTCTGAGTAATTTTTGAGAAGGTTCGGCTTGGCATATCTCGTACCAAGATGTAATGCTTTGCGCCGACTAAACCCAATGTAACCTCCCCCCCCCGATAATTCACAAGTACCCGAATTTTACAGGGGCTTCTTCGAGCGCACCAACTGGCAACTAGGCGAGCTGTGTCGTCCGTGCCCAAAGAACTGCTTGCGTTGCATGTTCCCGGATGTAAGAGCAAAATTTGATTAATACACCAACGTTTAGAGTTGCACAATGTGCCAGCCCGGCTTCTTGCCGACGTTCAACAACTCGCACTGCGACCCGCTGCTGCCCCCCGGGAAGACGTCAGATTACAGCCTCGAGGAGATCCTGACACCCCGGCCCTACTGTGATTCGTGAGGATTTTTACGCATTAGAACCTTCAATTTTCTGAATTTGTGGAATTTGCGCAGTTTTTCAACGCCATTTTAAAACATATTTCTTTAGGACATTGGTCCTTGGTTTTCTGGATTTTTCCACTCTTGCCGCTTTTTAACTTGCCTTTTTAGGGACGAGTTCCTGCTCTACAGCCGCTGCATGCCGTGCCAAGAATACCTGCCACATTGCGTGACGTGCCAAGCCACCACCAAGGTTACGGTATGAAAACACGAAATGTGGACGTCAAGGCTTTCTTTCAGGAGTCGGTGTGCACGAGGTGTGAGCGCGGCTATTTGCTGTCGAAGGACAAGCACCGGCAGCGATGCGTTCAGATGTGCAAAGGTGTCTTTCACGGTCGGCTTCAGAATACAGTTCCAGGGGCTCCTACTTTGACGAAAACACGGATCGATGCATCGACTGTCCGAAATGGTGCCGCGACTGTACAGCGTGGGTTTTTGAGTTGAATTTTGCGGAATCGATACCTAAACTCGGTCAACTACGCGTTACAGCAAAGGACACAGAAGATTTTACAGCACCGAATGCATCGAGTGCGCCCGCGGGCTCTACAAACTTCTCGATCGCAACGAGCACCGAGCCACCTGCCACTATGAGTGCCCGTGAGAAGTCCTTATGCTTGGGGATAGGCTTAGGTTTACCCTTATGGGCATTGGCCTAGGCTTAGGCTTCGGCTTACGCCTAGACTAAAGTGAAGGCTTTGGCTTTTGCTTCGACTTGGGCTCCGGATTAGGCTTCAGCCAAGACTGAAGCTTAGGCGTGCTCTGCTCAATTTTCACCTTCAGGCCCGGAACCTACCCAACCAACAAGTTTCCGTTCTACTGCCGGCGATGCCACTACACCTGCAGGACGTGCTGTGCGTAGTATTACATCGTACTTTACCCCCTTCGTATCTGTGAAAGTAAAATCCGAATCCTAGGGGGACCATCGAACCTTGAATGCCACGGATGCTACTTTTTCGCCTTCATCGACGAACAATCATTGCTGGTACCTGCCAAAGTAATGAAATACCACGCCGTCCTAGTTGCGCTGTGGCGTCCTGCCCGGAGATCCGCCCTCGCCGGACGTCACCAAGTTCACCCCGGACTTTATAGCATACGCGAGGAAAAAATTGGAGGCGGGTTTTTCGGTGTCGTCGAGGCCACAAGACATTTTTGGAGTTTTGTTTACCCACGTAAAGCGAATCTAGGGCCGTAATTCCCCAATTCTAGAGATTCTATCGTACCATATCCTTGATGCGCATCACCACGTGGCTGTGGTCGGAGTTGTGGGAGTCGATCGAGGAACGGGGCGAGGCTGCCAAGGAGTAGGCTCTGGTTTTTAAAGGGGCGGGCAAGGCATTGCGGTACTGAACTTTTTGTGTGGGATACTATGAAATCCATAAGCCCGCCTTGCTTGTCCCTTTAAAAAGTATGGCCTACTTGAGGGTTTTGGTGCATATCAATAAAATCTCTTGCTCAGCGCGCCGTTATGGGGAAAATACCCAAAATTTTGCCGCGACAACAAGTGCCTCGACCATTGTGACCCGGCGACGGCTACACTTTTCCATGTAAGCGTCGATAGCTTAGCTTTCAAGACCGTGCCCGTTGCAGCCGTGCCCCACTTGCTTGCCCGGCTACTACAAGGACATGCGGGGATATTGTATTCCGGATTGCCCAGAGTAGGTTAAATTTTTGGCCTTTTTCATGAGAAGAGCCTGGCAGAGCAAACGCGTCATCAAAGTCGTTTTAGCGGCTCGTTCGCGGACGACAAGCTGGGCCGCTGTATCCTGTGCCACGAGCCGGTCGCGTGCAAAGTATGTAAATGGGTGGGAAAGTCTTGAAAAAAGGAACGAAAGTTATTTTGTTTAGAAAGACGAACTCCCGACCCACTATCGCCTACAGGGCTTCACCGACTACGCGAGTATCATCAACCAAACGCTGTACTGGCGCTCGAATTTGACGGATGAAGGTAAGAAACGTAAGTGACACGTCCTTACTTACTTACCTATGTCACAAAATTCCTGATTTCTAGAAGACGACCGGCAAGAATGCATCGAGGGCCGCGTCCCGGAACTGCACTTTGGCTGTCATTTGGAGTGAGCCGTACCCAACTTGCCGACTTCTTTGTGTTCAGCTTCGAATTCACGGACGCGCTGGGCTACTGCCGGCAGTGCCACCCGGACTGTCTCGGCTGTACCGGCTACGGGCCGTCGAACTGCAAGGAGTGTCTGCATGGGATTCGGGATCAAGAGGGGGTAAGTTTCGATTCTTCCCCTTCCGGTTTTCAATGTTTTATTGGGACGTAAGGTTTATCAAAATGCTGCCCTGGTCAAGACGAGCATTTCGGTATACTTTACACCCCCGTAGCGCAACGGAGAGCCGAGATACAGCACCTGAAAATGTTGACAAATCCGGTTTTAGAGGTGCACCTCGGAGTGCAAGGCCGACTACGAGCTGCTCGAGCCACTGCCCGGCGTCAAAATTTGCACTCTCCGAATGAGACCTAGTGTCGGTTTTTAGCAAAGGGTCCTAGATCAAGTGCGTTTAGCAGGATACGCTGCAAATCTTCCGGAAGCGGCATACCGAGACGGGCACCGGCTGGTTTCTCTACTTCTTCGCCATGCTGGTCGCCTACGTGTGCTCGCAGTTTGGGGCGTTATATGGTAAATTTTTGGCGCGAAAATTATGAGTAATTTTTTTCATTTTCGAAAAATTACTTTTTCGCCCCGTGACTTTCCAGGCAGGAAACTGTCGAAAACCGTTTTTTGAACAATAGCCTTCAAAATGTGTGTAAATCTGAAGCCCATTTTCAGTCGCCCTCTTCCTCGGGAAGCTCGACAAGGCCGAGCTGATTTGCTGGGGCTACGACCAGTTAGGATACTGTAAATTTGACAAGGTAGAGATTTTAGCATCGTCTCCGAAGCGGCCCTGGCCCACCTGGCAGAACTGTTAGTGCTGAAACGAAGCAAGAGCAAGAGCGGCTCTGTCGGATCGGGCAGCTGGTCGCGCAGGGCGACGCGTCGCGGTTCGGCAGCTACAATCGAATCTTACGCCTGCAACACCAGATATGACTGTAAGGAGGGATCATGATTTTGAAGCGGTTAAAGCAACAAGCTATCTCATTAGAACGACTCAACTTATTTTTTAGCTTCCTCGTCCAATGGTTCGACACGCAGGCGCAAGAGGCGCGTGTTCATCAGGCCGAACGTAGGCTTATGATTTGGCTTTTAGCTTACGCTTCAACTTAAGCCTGAATTAGGCTGATGATTAGGCTTAGGCTAAGGCTTGAACTCAAGCTTAAGTGCAAGGTTAGGCTTAAGTTTAGGCGTAGGCTTTGGCTTTGGCCTAAGCTTAGGTTTATTTTTTCTGTTTGACTTAGCTTCGGCTTGGTTTAGCTCAGTCTTGGACGCCTCGCAACCTCAAAAACCCTTCCGGGATTTTGCAGATTGGTGCAAAGGCCTTCAGAAGCTGGCGAAAGAGGCAAAAAGCGGAAAAGAAGGCGCAGGGATGTCAGTTTTTTGTTCTTGTCCTTTCCGCGTACCATTTTTTTATCGCATATCTATGGATTTTGAAAAGTAATAACATATTAGATTAGTCCTAAGAAAATTCCAAAAAGCTTAAAGCAATTTTCAGTACCGGTTAGCGTGACGCAGGACAGCTTGTGGACTTCCGGCCACTCCGAGCCAACCCAGGAAACAGCCGAAAAACCAGCGGTGCCAATTCCAAGCCAACGATCCGTTGCAGAAGACGCGACGTCGGGAGACCGGCTGAATTCTGATCCGGTAGTTTTGTCGTTTTTTTTTATTTTGTTTAATTTTAGCTCTCATCTGCTGCGGCCTCCCAAAAATCTGCTTGTGAAGAGCCCGAGCCGCACCCGAATCGGAGCAGCCCCGTCAGCTCGTGGCGATGAAGAAAAGCCACGGCCAATTCTATTCTGATTTTTCTCGTATTTATCTATGCTAAGATTTGTCTTTTACTGTGTGTGTTGATTAACGATTGAAAGAACTCTCAAAATTATCCGATGTATTGATTCGCGACCTTGAATAAAGGATTATTTGCTCGTCTCCATATAGTATACTTCTCCGCCCACCCTGGGTGGGCCCCCCTAGGGGGGACAGAGGGGGGACTGAAGGGGGGGATGGTGGGGGGCCCTGGGGACTCCCAAGGACTCGTGCCCCCTACCCCCCTGAGGCATGGAGGTATGGCATCTATGAGTTCCATTCGCTATACCGAATTTTCACTATACCGAATTTTCGCTATACCGAATTTCGCTATGCCGAATTTTTGGTATACCGAATTTTCACCATGCCGATTTTCACGATACCGAATTTTCACCGTGCCGAATCTTCGCCATACCAATTTTGATAAGCGGTATGTTCCCCATTTTTTTACTGTTTTTTTTTCCAAATAGATGGGCTAGAAAGTTAGAGTTAGCCTAGAAGTTTCCAAAAACGCAGGCAGATCGTAGGTCCCGTAGGCGCAGCAGATTTTCTGTTGCACCGCAAAGACTGAAAGGGGGGATGGTGGGGGGCGGCCGGGGGCCCCCCCACCATCCCCTTCAGTCCCCCTATGTCCCCTAGGGGCCCACCCAGGGTGGGCGGGGAAGTATGCCATATAGCTTCAAGAAGCAACGAAACTTGGTTTTTATACACATAAAAATTATTCCCATCTGTCACAAGATTCGCACATGATCGTGCCGTTAGTTTTCTCGTTGTCGGTCCAGATGGCGTAGTCAAGGCGGCAGTACGGTGGCTCGGGAAACATGCGGAATGTGCCGTGGCCGGCTGAAAAAAGGAAATTTATGCTTGGGCTATCATGTTGTCAACGCGTCGCGGCGATGTCAGCTACACGCAACGCGATCGCTCGCGCCACGGCGGACGGCCGAATATGGCCTTGGAAATGCCGTCGCACGCAACGCGCACGTGGCGTGCGTTCCTTTTAGAAAAGTCGCTCTTCCGCGGGAAATCTGAACCGTTGTTTGCCGGTTTTGATTGTTAAAAATGTAGATTTTGCAATCAAAAATGGGATCAAAAAAATGATCAAGA